GACCGGTGGCACCGTGCTCAGCCCAGGAGCAAGACCTGCCCGCTCTGCCGGGGCAGCGTGACCACGGTAGCGTTGATCCACCTCAGCGCACACAACGGCAAGCAGGAATAACCTGGGAAGGCTCACTCCAACTCCCTCCTGGAAGGTTAAGACGTGTCCCCCCCATACACACTCTCACCAGCTCTGTCTTCTGCTCTCCCTACAAATTCAAGCTCCAGTCGGTGCCTCTCGGGAAGTGTGAAGACAGCGCGGGGTTGAAAAAACATATGGAAATGTAGGAGTAGGGAATACAGACTGGAAGGACAAATGGAATACTGAAGACGTATCCTTGGCTCTGCCCAGTTTGGGCAGCTGATCACATACAGGTCTGCTTCACACCAGAAGAGTTGAGGCCCCCAACCACAGAGCAGAAGCAGCAGCTGGTTCTTGCCAAGCCCCTGGACGGCTCAGCCTGAGGTTCCTCCTCTTACTCTGCTTCTTAAGCTCTCTCTCCCAAAAGCCTGCACAGACAGGCTATAAACCAGGAAGCCAACTACCACGCTTACCAGCTAATTTTTACCACAAAACCTAGGTTGATGAAACAATCACAGTTCTCTACTTGTCTTTTTTTTTTTTTGCAAGCAGATAGTTAGAAAGAACAAAAAACCTGCTAAATGGAAAAGATGTTTTTGCTTTATGTCCAAGGTTTGCAGGGCATTTTGCCAAAACTAGAAGAGGCAAGATATTATTTCCAGCACCAATATCTAATAAAGAAGATGTCTTCTTCTGTTGCAAGGCAAACAGCTGGAACTGGAATCCCTTGCCAGATGCGAGTACTAAGTTGCAATGGCCCAGATTTGCTCAACTGCCTTTTTTAATTGTGGGCATTAGCAGATTATGGGTACTTTTGTAGAAGGTCCATAAAGCACTCCTTTATAATCTTCTGTATGCATTAGGGCCTAGATTATCATGCTTGTACCTGGTAATAACAGAGGAGAGATTGCTGGGACCCCTGGGAAATCCAGGAGGGGCACTGGGTAGAGCACACAGTGCTGAGACACGTGTAGGGGATGGTGCACAGGGCAGGGCTCGCAGAGCTCCCACAGCCCCGCTCTCCCGCAGCAGCAGAGTGAGGCACAAAACCTCTCCGCTCACGGCGCTCCATTCCCCATCTACCCAGCTCGCATTTGGGGTGGTGACTCTGCCTCTTTCAGCTATCTATTCTGTAAAGACGTGGGTCATCCTTTCCTTTCATCCTAGATGAAAGGAGGCGGTTACATGCACCAGTTTCTAAATCAGCTCCTAGCAAGAAAAAAAAAATTATTAACGACAGGGTGCAGGTCTGCCTTCCAGCTGGCTCACTGCGGAGCTGGGGACTTGCTCAGTCAGCAGGAGGGAGGAAGCATGACCCACATGTCTTTCTTTTAAGAGCAACTGGGAGCACTGGAAACACAAAGGTTTTCACTGGAAGGTCACTAGATGGCCCCAGATCTTCCTTCCCAGCAAATCGCTGGTATTTCAGCTCCAGGAGCCTGGTCTTCACTAATCCTATAGCATGACCACAAAGGAGCAGCACGCCCTGATAAGAGGGGCACTGAGCTAGAACCAGGGATACCTGCCAAGATGTCTTGAGCAAAGCATTTAACCCCCCCGATGGCTTTTTCTGCTCCTGGCCTTTGGTTGTTGAGGGCAGGGAGAGGCTGTTGTGTGTCAGTGCAATGCCACTGCCCGTGGACCCGAGGCGCCGACCTAATACAGACACAGGACCAGAAGTCTGATTGTGTACAAACTCGCATCATCCCACTGCCAGACTGCTCTTTTCATGCTGCAAAAACCTCAGAAGGGAAAACGCCATGTAGACCTATTTCGCCAAGTAAAGTCAATGCTGGATCTGCGGCCTGTAACGCGCGTTTTGTTGGAATTGTAAGGATGCCCACGTGATTCAGTCTCCTCTGCGTCTCTGTCACAGTTTAAGCTGTTTGGGCAGGACCAGAGTTAGATTCTGCTAGCAGTTACGTGGGTCTAAATCAGCATTAAATTCCTCTGGATTGAGCAGACACTTCTGTGGGGTACAAGCAAAAGGAAGAGCTGGTTGTATATCCCAGCTCCCGCGCTAAGTGATAGCCCCAACGAAGTATAAAGGAACACGGGGACTTTGGGAGTGGTGGGGTAAATGATCAGTTAATAGAGGTAAATGGTATTTTCTTTTTTTCTGGTTTGGATCTTTGTTCAAGTGGTAAAATGGGACCTGTTCCCTGTAATTGCTCTGCTCTTGCACACAACTGCTGTCTCCCACGTGTGGCTTGTTGACATTTAAATAAATTGCAATTATTCTGACAAAGTAGACTGCAGGGACTCCAGAGAAAATGGGTCAAGAATATGTCCAGGAGCACCTGCAATGTATTCACTACATGAATATAAGAGGGGTAAGGCAGGATGAGAACAAGAGTATGGTGCTGGCTATAATGAAGACAGCATGGGGCTGGAGACAGCCTGGCAGAGCCCCACACCATGGTGGGACGCTTGGCTCAACCTCAGCCAGCTGGAGCCAAAGCCTCCAGGGCACTGACGATGGAGGAGGCAGGCAGCAGTGATGCAAATGGAAAGCACGGAGGGAACCAGAGCGGACAGGGCACCACTTTGGCTCTTGGAGTGACGACCGTCTTGGCCAAAGTCCTTCTTCAGCTCTCCTCTCCTTCCTTCTGCAAAAGCGTTCAGGGATTTCGAAGGAGACTAAGGGCTGGGGTTTCCTATCACATACTGCCTCTGGGTGGGATACGGGTATCCTGCTCCTCATCCAGTTTCTTCTCTTTCCTCACTCCCCAGAGCCTTCTCCGTACCCCATGCCCTCCAACCTCTCTTGGAGAAGATTTGTCCTTTTCCCCACGTCTCTCTGGGTTACTGCTAAGAGTTACAGGGATCCAGGTTGGAGACTGCAAACACTTGGTTTGTCCTTTTGTCCAAGGGTTTTGGTGAGCAAGCCAGGATGGCTGCTCGCTCCTGCCTTGCCGATTCGAGGATGTAAGAGGTGATGCTGGAACAGCCAGGAGATAACAGCACACAGAATACAAAGGGGGCTGTTCCTTGGTCCCATATCTGTCACAGCTCACAGACACATGGCTCTTTGTCCAGCCCCAAAGACAGACCTACCCCCTACGCAAGCACCAGGTCACCAGCTTTGATCTGGAGGCAGAAATAGAGCACTGAGTGAAGTAAAGAGGCAAAGATTTTAAAGAATGCTAGGATGATGGATGCCATCACAAGAAGCATAAGACCAAACCAAAAACACACCCTCAAAACGGTGTCTCAGTGTACCTCCATTTTCTTCTTCATCTCTCATTCTACTAGAAAGCATCTGGCTTCTCCCCCCTCCCCAAACCTTTTCCTTGTTTTGTTTTCAAATGCATCAAAATGTCTCCCTGCAAGTGTAAAACTCTTTAGATGAGGGGAAAATAAAATCGATTTGAAATCACAGCTGCTGGGAGCCTGGCACACACACACACACTGTCTGCTGACATTTTCTGTAGCTCTTTTCCCAGTGAAATCTGTCTCCAGCAGAACCCAAGGGGGCTAGTAACAAATCCGTTGCCTGGTACACGAGTGATTTTTTTTTTTTTAAACCACAGGTCCAACACAACTGCACTGGAAACCATGGGCTACTCTCCAGTGGATCATTAAACAAAAAGGGCTGTTTGTTAACAGGTACAGGTTTTTAGGGATTTGTGGTTGCAAACTGACCTGGGTTCGTTGCATATTCAGACCTAGTTTGTTCTGACAACCCGTAGAGCGATTGCATTCCCATCAGGCTGGCATTCTTCTGGGCGCTGAGCAGTCACCATATGAGTTGGGAATTGCCTGAAAGTTTCTGCTGTCAAACACTCCGGGAGGGAGGGACAACACTTGTGCCTTATGCTTTCCACTCCTTTTTCAGCTTTTTTGCCACAACCAGAATTTTAAAATCAGTTTTTATAGCTAGAAGCTGAAGTCTTTTTTCAGCCATTTGATTTCCAGCAGCTGAGGTTTTAAATTAAATAAGGCGAAAAGCCCCAACACAAAAGTTGATGGTAGCCTTCCCAAGCTCATCCACCACCCACTCTCGCAGGGGTAGGACAGCAAGATAGCAAGGGAGGACAGCCCCAGCACGACCCAAGCGTACCAGCCCCCTCGGGGGCCTTGAAGGTGGATCCGCTGTCTCAGAAATTTAGGTAAGGGCAGAGTGAGGCCACACCGGCACAAAGAGACTTTCAACTTCTGCTGGCTGCCATTCTGACTGACAGTTACTGACTGACTTGTTTCAAGGGAGAGAAACCCCTTCTACCCTAAGCAATTTATTTGGCTTGGTATCAGTTCAAAGATCACAATTTTAAGGAAAAAGTGCACGTTCACCAGACCAATCCAAGCTGCCACCCCCCCCCC